CCGTATATTGCTTTATCTCTGTTTTAATTTGGTCACTGATCGATTGATTATTTAGGAGCATGTCGTTAAGTCTCCATGTGTTTGTGAACCTTTTTGTTTTCTTTGTACAATTTATTTCTAGTTTTATACCCTTGTGATCTGAGAAGTTGGTCCAATTTCAATCTTTTTGAATTTACTAAGGCTCTTTTTGTTGCCTAGTTTGTGGTCTATTCTGGAAAATGTTCCGTGTGCCCTTGAAAAGAATGTGTATCCTGTTGCTTTTGGGTGTAGAGTTCTGTAGATGTGTGTTAGGTCCATCTGTCCTAATGTATTGTTCAATGCCTCTGTGTCGATACTTATTTTCTGTCTGGTGGATCTGTCCTTTGGAGTGAGTGGAGTGTTGAAGTCTCCTAGAAGGAATCCATTACCTTCCATTTCCCCTTTTAATTCTGGTAGTATTTGTTTCACATATATAGGTGATCCCGTGTTGGGTGCATAGATATTTATAATAGTTATATCCTCTTGTGGGACTGACCCCTTTATCATTATGTAATAATGTCCTTCTTTGTCTCTTGTGACTTTCTTTGTTTTGAAGTCTATTTTATCTGATACAAGTACTGCAACACCTACTTTTTTCTCCCTATTAGGTGCATGAAATAACTTTTTCCATCCCTTCACTTTTAGTCTGTGTATGCCTTTGGGTTTGAAGTGAGTCTCTCGTAGGCAGCATGTAGATGGGTCTTGTTTTTTTATCCATTCAGTGAATTTATGTCTTTTGATTGGTGCATTCAGACCATTTACATTGAGAGTGATTATCAATAGGTAAGCACTTTTTGCCATTGCAGGCTTTAGATTCGCGGTTACCAAAGGTTCAAAGGTAACTTCCTTACTGCTAACTTAACTCAGTATGCTATTACAAACACAACCTAAAGGTTCTTTTTTTTTCCCTCCTTTTTCTTCCTCCTCCACTCTTTGTGTGTTATGAATCATATTCTGTACTCCTTGTCTATCCCTTGGGTGACATCTATTTAGCCTTAGGAATACTTCTGTCTGTAGTAGTTCCTCCAAAATGTACTGTAGAGGTGGTTTATGGGAGGTAAATTCTCTCAGCTTTGCTAATCTGAAAATTGTTCAATCCCTCCTTCAAATTTAAATGATAACCTTGCCTGATAGAGTATTCTTGATTCAAGGCCCTTATGCTTCATTGCATTAAATATATCATGCCACTGCCTTCTGGACTGTAAGGTTTCTGTTAAGAAGTCTGATGATAGCCTGATGGCTTTTCCTTTGTATGTGATCTTTTTTCTCTGGCTGCTTTTAATAGTCTGTCCTTTTCCTTGAACTTTGCCATTTTAATTATTATATGTCTTGGTGTTGTCTTCCTTGGATCCCTTGTGTTGGGAGATCTGTGCACCTCCACGGCCTGAGAGACTACCTCCTTCCCCAGATTGGGGAAGTTTTCAGCAATTACTTCCTCAAAGTCACTTTCTATCTCTTTTCTGTCTCTTCTTCTTGTACCCCTGTAAGATGATTATTGTTCCATTTGGATTGGTCACACAGTTCTCTCAGTGTTCTTTCATTCTTAGAGATCCTTTTTTTTCTCTGTGCCTCAGGTTTTTGTATTTCTCTTCCCTAATTTCTATTTTATTTATCTTCTTCACCATGTCTAATCTGCTTTTAAAACCTTCCATTGCATTTTTCAATAATTTGATCTCAGTCCTAAATTCCTTCCTGAGATCTTGAATATTTTCTGTACCTCCATGAGTGTGTTAATGATTTTCATTTTGACGTATCTTTCAGGTAGATTCATGAGGTTGATTTCATTTGAATCTTCCTAAGGTGTATTCATAATTTTGCTTTGAACCAGGTACCTTTGACATTTCATATTTGTCTGTGGTGCCCTCTAGTGCTCAGAAGCTCTACTCTCTGGAGCTGCTCATCCCATGGAACAATGTTGGGAGTAGCAAGGGAGCGGTGTTGGTGCTTGGGTGGAGGAGAGAGCTGTTTTCTGCTTCCTGGCTGCTATGCCTGTCTCCACTGCTAGTACCAGCGGGCCGAACACCCAGGTGTAAGCCTTTATGCTTTGCGTTTGTATCTGCTGTTGGCAGGGCTTCCCTCTAGCTGGCCTGATGCCAGAAAAGGGTTTGTTGGTTTGCGAGCCTGAGCCAGGTGCAGGCTAGCCTAGAGGAAGATACAGCAGGCTGTGTATCATGGTGGGGGCCTTGGAGCTGCATAGCCAGCCAGGGGGATTGAGTGCCTGAACATCGTTTAAGCTCCTAACCTGCTGGGCAGAGTGCACCCGGAAAATTTTGCTTACCTGTCCTTTCTCTTGAGCAGTAAGCTCTGTGCAATCCTTGCCCCTTTAGCAGCCATCTCACTTTTAGGAAGTCTCTCAGACTGCCCACCCAGATCAGCCAGACATGAATCCCTGTTTCTCACAAGCAGCTGGAATCTCCATCTCTCCAGGTATTCCACCTGTTTTAGCTTTCCAACCCCACTAAATCACCACAGGACCATGCAATGTAGGTTCATGCTCCCAGCGCAGATCTCCAGGGCTTGGTGTTCCACAGTCCCAGACCTCTACTCCCTCCCCACTCTGTTTCTCTTCCTCCTGCCTGTGAGCTGAGGTGGGGGAAGGGCTTGGGTCCTGCGGGGGTCACAGCTTTGGTACATTACCCTGTGTGGTGAGGTCTGCTCTTTTCTCCAGGTGTATGCAGTCTGGTACAGCCTTCTTTCCTGTTGCTCCTCCAGAATTAGTTGTATTAATTCTATTTTCATATTATATGTGATTTTAGGAGGAGGTCTCTGTCTCACCTCTCACATCACCATCTTTAATTCTTTCAGCTGCTTATTAAAAAAGATTTTTTTGTTTTCAAGTAACATTTATACAAATTAGGTTTAGGTCAAATAGCAGCTACCTGTCTCACCTGTCCCCACTTTCGGAGGCCATCACTTTCAACTCTTTCAGCTCTTTTGTTTAGTATTTAGTTTCGTTTCTAAATTACATGCTTATAATGTTATTTCTTAGTTTTTTTTTCAGTATTGGATAATCTGGAGGCTTCATGCCCAAGAAGATAATCATTCTTTTATATTCTCCACTAACCTTTCCTCTTCTTCACACTTAGATGCTCCCTCTTTCCCAAATAGTTGACATTTTTAAATTAATTGACAATTTTTTAACTATGTAAATTATATGGATTTGGTTATTGTGGATTTGTGTATCATGATTTGTTTTATTTCCTGTAAAACATTTAGTGTTTCCTGTAGTTATAATTAATTTTTTTTTGGTGAACCTTTATATTCTCTGACAGAACTGTAAAACTCAAAATAATAGAAAACCCATCAGACTGTATTTCACTTTTCACCTTGGTGACATCTCTCTAACTCTGTTGGAAATCCTCTGTAAAATTCCTGCTTCTGGGATCCTGAATCTTCCTTTGTTTTAGAGGCATGACCTTATGGTATCTTTCTGAGAAAGGCAGCATGGAAAGTAAAATATATTGAAAGTCTTACATGCTTGAAAATTGTTCTTTTTTCCCCCCTCTTCACATTTAATTCATGAATGGCTAGGCATAGAATTCTCAGTTGGAAATCATTTTCCTTCAGAGTTATGAAGGTATTGCTACATTGTCTTGTCGTTTTCAACATTGCTTCTGAGAAATATGCCATTCTGCTCCCTGTTCTATTATATATAAACTGCTTTCCTTTCTGCAAACTTTTAGAATCTTTTGGTGTTCTGAAATGTCAAGATGAAGATGAAATACATCTTTTATCAGTCATTATTCTGAGCCCTTAATAGTTCTTTTCAGTGCGAAACTCATGTTCTTCAGTTGTGAGAAATTTTCTTGTTTTTTCTTTGAAATTTTCTACCTTGTGTTTTTTCCATTGTCACTTTGGAGTTCTTGTTTTTCTGTTGTTGAGTCTCGTGGAATAATCTTCTCATTTCTTCCCTCCCTCCCCTCACTGTTTTGTTCTTTGCCCTTTTTTTTTTTTTGTCTTTGCAAGATTGTATCAATGTACCTAACAGCTTTATTGAAGTATGATTTACAAGCATGGCATGCACCCATTTTAAGAGCATGGTGATTTTAGTAAACTTACAGTTATATTCCTATCATCCCAAAAGATCTATCCTGCCCATCTGCATGCTCTTTGCCTTTTTCTGTTTCTTAGAAAATTTCTTCAATTCTAATTTCTCATTCTGTTTTTGAAGGGTTTTTTTTTTCCTTTAAATTTACACTGCCATGTATTTGTTTTCCAAGCTAATTTTGTTTTCCGACTATTTGTTCCTTAACTTCTTTTATTTTTTTAAGGATTTAAAAAACTTTTGCTTCCTGCCTGGTCTTTTTCTTCAGAGTTCACTTTCTTCTGCTTCTTTTGCTCTTTATCTTTCATGTTGAAGTTTTTCTCACACATACGATCTTTGGCTAGCCTTTTATATTTAGGAGTGAGGTATCAAAACATGAGTGGAGCTGTGCATTAATTATTGGGAAACTGGATATTTCTTTGGGAGACCCACAAATGTCAGTATCTATGGGTCCTTTGGGCTAGTTTCCTCAGAGAAATTCTCTCTTGGCTAGATATACATGATACTGTGTTCTAGAATTGAGGGGAGAAACTGTTTTTATGAATAAATGAAGGTTCTGTGTGTGGGGGTCTCCTTGTTCCCAGGCAGAATTTTGCTCAGTCCTTTGAGTAATGTGTCTCGTTGCTATTGCCATTTGGGCCTCTCTGGTTCACTATCTCCAAACAGTAAACCTCCAGGCTTCTTCTTGGAGAGAAGCACCAGGCCCATGAGGAAACATCTGGGCTGTGTGCTGCTGTGAGCACATGTCCCACCCAGTGTAGCTGGGATGGAAATTGGTAGCTTGTAGACACATAAAACTTATAATCTTTATAAATACAGATTTAGCAGTTCTCTTTGAAAAACAAAACTGCTGGGAAGATAATTCTGTGTAAGATAATTTTGTGTGATTCCTGTTTCTGGGCTGTACATTTTTCCCCTTTGGTTTGGACTCTTTCAGAACAAATTGGAGCTTTGGCCGATCAGCACATTGTCCATGTGGCATGTGGCGAGTCCCACAGTCTGGCCCTCAGTGACCGGGGCCAGCTGTTTTCTTGGGGTGCAGGAAGTGATGGTCAGCTAGGACTCATGACTACTGAGGATTCGGTGGCTGTGCCCAGGTAAGAATGTCACAGAGAGGAGTCTGAGTTTTCAAATGTCAATTTTGTAAATATTTTTTCCTGCTGTTGCTTTGTTAGACACTGTTTTTAGTTCTGTTTTCTTTACTTAGTTGCTGTTTCCTTTGCCACTGCTGTGTATTACACTTCATAACACTTGTCACAAAAATTGTAATTATTTGTAGGAGCGTCTACCTCCAGTTTAAAATAATGTTGAGTGGTTTGGGAACTGTGTTTATTCTAGTAGCTTAGTTGCTAGCAGAGTGCATGAGCCTCAACAAGTGTTTGAGTAAAAATGGCATCTTTACACATGCTGGACTTACTAACATTTAACTTAAAATTGCAAGCCTATGTCAATTAGTCAACTAAGCACTATAAACTAGTTGAGTCACAAGGCTGACATTTTCTAATAATTCTAATAATAGGCCAAATTACTTAAGCATTATGAGCAGCTAAAATACCAAATATACTTAAGTTCTTTAATACAAAAATACAGTGGTTTTGAGTCTCTTAAATATTTACTTAATTCTAAACCTTAGATGATTTAGCTAAATATCTTACCACTAAGAAAACATCCAAAATACTAAAGTTGCTTTCAGGTGGACTTCTTCAGGGTGGTGTCTTCAATTTGTTAAAGGTTCTTAATGATCAAAGAGGCCACCAGTTTTTTTCCTTCATTTAATTACTGGTCCTTTGCACTACAGATGTGCAGCACATTGCTGTTGTAATAATTGTCACATTTTCTGTAATTATTTATTTAATTACTGTTTTTAGTAAAAAGCTGGGAGCTCTTGAGGGCGTGAGACCTGGATTATGCATTTTAGCATTACCATTGCTGAGGGTGCTGAGCACATACATTGCTCAGTACTATTCCCTTTCATAAATGGCCTCTTTTCCGCTCCCCAATTACTGTCCCCTTTAAAGGACAATATATTCTTCTTCCTCTTCCTTTTTGCCCTTCTTAGATTTTTGTCTCTTTAATCAAAAGCTGTTTTAAGGAAAAGAGGAACATGGAGGTAAGAGTGATTTGATTCACTTCCTGGTTTAGAACAGGTAATGTCTTGGATTCATTTCTTCCAAAAATTAATTTAATTTTTGGGGAAGAGGGAGAGTGGGCACTAAGAAAAGAGGGGTGCTATATCTCAATGGTATTGTGCATAATGTTAGAGAAAAGAGAACATTAATGATGAAAGGCTTTCATTTGTTGATGACCAAAGACTACAATAAAGATTTTCAGTGGCATTTCATTTAGTCTATGTCATAGTAGTGATTTAATTTTCATTAGTCATGTCTAAATTATAGATGATTTCTGAGGCTTTGGTTTCTGTATAATTTTATATTGTAACCAAATTGAAATAAATTTATTCTTATGTTAGTATTGTGGAAGGTAACAGCTTTGAAGTCACACAGCCTCAAACACTTCTGATATTGGCTCTGTTACATACTAGGTGAGTGACCGTGGACAAATTGCTTGACTCTTCTAAGCCTCAGTTTCCTAACTTAAAAATGGAGTTAGGTGTGGTGTACCTTTATGAAGTTATTAGGAGGGTAGAATGAAGTGATTAGGTAAAACATAGTATATGCTTGTCCTACATATGTTCCCTTCTCTCCACTGAAGTATATAATTTCTCTATTATCTTTGTCCTTTTGACCCACTTTCTTTCTGTAACTGTGGTTGTGAAGGTTGTGACACAGGTAATAGTGACCTGTAATGGGAGAACTTTGGGAACTTGAGTAGAAATGGGCCAGGAAAAAGGATTGTTGCTGGGTAAAACTTCTGCAACATTGCTCCCTTAGGCAGTAATGCAATTTCCAATTTTAAAAAATACTGGTGTTCTGTTGATACATGAAACAACTTGGGTGAATGTCCAGAGAACTATTTTGAATGGGAAAAAAAGCTAATCCCTAAAGGTTACCTACTGTACAGTTCCATTTATATAACTTTATTGAAATGACAAAATTTTAGAATTGGGGATAGATTAGTGTTGGCTAGGGGTTGGGGAGGGGAGGAGTCATTATGAAAGTACAACATGAGAAACCCTTTGGTTTGGAAACTGTTAGTATCTTGCCTTGGTGGTGGGTGCGTGAACGTACACAGGTAATAAAATTAGTACAGTCACAGAAATGAGTACAAATAAAACTGGGAAATATGAGTAAATTGGTAATGCTATTGAGTCAATATCCTGGTTATGATATTATGCTATAGTTTGCAAAATGTCACTGTTGGGGGAAACCAGATAAAGCATGCAAGGAATCGCTCCCTTATTTCTTGAAACTGCATCTGAATCTACAATTAGGTCAATAAAAAGTAGTTGGGTTCTATTTGGTACTAAATGCATATGTGAACTCTATTTTATAAATGCTTTTATATATGAGAAAATATTAACCAAAGCAGTATCCACTTTTCATTCTAAATAATCCCCTTCTTTCCCACTGGATATGTATCTTCTGAGAAGCCCTTCTCCTGAGAGCATATCCATCTGACTCCTTTGTTCCCATGGTACACACTTAATGAAGAGGAACGTAGCAACTTGTGAACTGTTAAAATAGAAAGCAGGAGAGATTTCCAGGTAGTCCACCTCTGTGGGACAGTACCAAGCACATTACATGGATATGTTCATTTAATTCTCACCACAAGCTTATGAAATAGGTACTGTTCTTATCTCTGTCCTTCATGTGAGCAGAGGAGTAGGAATTGAGAAGTAATTATATGGTCTTCCTCTTTACCATCCTAGGGAATCAGGGTTTTGGAGGCATTGTCCTTATTTTTTTTTGTAATTGTGGTAAAATACACATAACATGAAATTTACAATCTTAACCATTTTAAGTGTATAGTTAAGTAGTGTTAAGTATATTCATGTTGTTGTGTATCTCCAAACTTTTTTATCATGCGAAAATTAAACTCTATACCCATTAAACAACTCCCCATTTCTCCTCTCCTGGATGCTGGCAAGCACCGTTAGATTGTCAATTTGTGTGAATTTGACTGCTCTGGATATCTCATGTAAGTGGAATCATAGAGTATTTGTCTTTTTGTGACTAGCTTATTTCAATTAACATAATGCCCTCAAATTTCATCCATGTGTAGCATGTGTCAACATTTCTGCTCTTTTAAAGGCTGATTAATATTACGTTGGGTGTATATACCACATTTTGTTTTTCTGTTCGATTGTTGAGGGACACTTGGGTTGCTTCTACCTTTTGGCCATTGTGATTAATGCTGCTATGAATGTGGGTGTACAGATATCTCTCTGGGTCCTTGCTTTCAATTCTTTTAGATGTGTACCTGGAAGTGGGATTGCTGGATCATGGCGTTGCCCTCATTTTGAAAGCCATTTATACTCCAGCTATGCTCCTAGGAACCTCTCTTCTGTAACTTACTCCATTTGTCCCTGAATTGGAGATGACAAGGTGGGAATTAACAGAGGGTTGTGGTAATGGGTTTAAGTGCACAGGTGTTTTGTTTTGTTTGTTTGTTTAAGCAGTAACTACCTAAGAGGCAGGAGGTTAGTGAAAGACCTAACAGAATTGTATCATGTAAGATTATATATTTGATTTAAAGTCTTTAAGAAAAATGTTTTTATTACAGCTGTTTTAGTTAATTGGGAATATTTCTTATCACCGCAAGTGCCCTTTTTAAGAAGAAAGCCTTTTCTGTTTTAGGTTAATACAAAAGCTGAACCAGCAGACAATATTACAAGTTTCCTGTGGCAACTGGCATTGCTTGGCTCTTGCAGCTGGTAATGTAACTTAAAATATATGCTAATGTTATGTTAATTTGGGGCACATTTCTCTTTGCATTTTTCTGTGATGTTATCTTACTGGACACCTTTAACTTATCGGTTAGGGTCTGAGCATTTCTGTTGGCCAGTGGCAGTTCTCAGACAGCCTTTGTGTAGCTCATACTTCCCGCAGGGTGTGGACGCTGAAGAACGTGGTCCTCACTGCTGCTCCCGCTCTCTCACAGGGGAAGATGAACAAGAGGCAGGACTGTACCTGGAGTATAGTCACTGTTCTGGAGCATAGAGAAGATTGTTTTTTCTTAGCTACAGTCTGCTATGCAGCTCCCAAATAAAAGAAAAAGGAGTTAGAAAAACCTAAGGCAGCAAGTAATTTCGTGTACTGTGTCTGAGTACATCTGAGGGGAAATCCGCACTAGGATGTCCTGTTTGAGGCTCTCTGAGAAGGTCTAGGTCATAGCTGGACCTCGTGAAGTCTGGGGTCTCATGATCTTGCTGTGGTCAGAACTAGTTCAGCTTGCTTACTGGATCCAAGCCTGGTAGTTGGCCTAGTTAACACGGAGCTGACTTAACACAATTAAGTTTTTCTTTGCATAAATGTTAATAGCCTTTGAAGGTAGAAAGACTCTGTTTATTCTGTTGTCATGACAAGTGGGAGTTTTGGTTTTGGCACCTTACAGAATGAAGTGTCTGTTCCCTTGCTCATGGGTGGGTCTGGTGGGTTGGTGGGGGGAACAGCTAACAAATGACCCTACTGGGCAACTGTATTGCTCTAATGAGGTTATTTTTGTGGATGGGACTTGTATCATTTCTGGTAATACCATTTACCCTGTTCTTATTTCAGATGGTCAGTTCTTCACATGGGGAAAGAACAGCCATGGGCAGCTGGGCCTGGGGAAGGAGTTCCCCTGCCAAGCCAGCCCACAGCGGGTGAGGTCGCTGGAGGGGATCCCCCTGGCGCAGGTGACTGCAGGAGGGGCCCACAGCTTCGCCCTGTCTCTCTCAGGAGCTGTGTTTGGCTGGGGGATGAATAATGCAGGGCAGCTAGGGCTCAGTGATGAAGAAGGTAGGTAAACTCTTTGGATGTGTCTCTTTAGTTGAAAACACATTCATTTGTTTAACACAAGCTTCTTGAGTATCTTCTAAGTGTTGGCCCTGTGTTAGGAACTAAGGGTACAGCAATGAGCACAGCAGCTAATGCCCTTGGCTTAGTGGAGATTGCATACTTGTGGGCAGAAACAAACAGTAAGCCAGTAACAACTGAGTGTGTCAGAGGGTTCAAAAGGAAAGTTTCCTGTTTTACAGAAGGTGGCCAGGGAGGGCCTCTCTGATAAGATGTTTGACCAGAGCTCTGTAGGAAGTTACGTAAGAAAGGAGACAAGTAGATACCTGGGGAAAGTGTGCTCCTGTGAAAGGATCAGGACACACAGAGGCTGATGTGGGAAGATACATGGTGTGCTCAGGAGTGGAATGAGCAGGGGGGAGAGCAGCATAGCTGGAGGTCAGAGAGATATGCAGGCCTGGTTATGTAGGGCACGGCAGGGCAGGGAAAGGATTTTGGCTTCTCTCACTGAGAGAGGGAGATACGGATGGTTTTGAGAAGAATGATCTGCTTTGAGTTTGTAGTGCATCTGGGGGAAGCTGGAAGACCAGTTTGGAGGCAGTGGGAATAAAGTCATATTTTCAAGGTGGGACCAACTGGTTTTGCTCATTGTTGGATGTGTGGATTGAGATAGAGGAAAAGCTGGAAGGATAAGGTTGCTGTTTCTGAAATGAGAAAAACTGTGTGGGGTGTGTGTGTGTGTGGGGGGGAGATTCAGCAGAGTGAGGAAACCATGGTTTTAGATATATTAAAACTGAGATGTCTGTTAGACATCCAAGTAGAGGTTAGGTAGGAGTCTGAATGTGTGGGTCAGGAATCTGGGGGGACCCAAAATTACTGCTAGGATAGCTGTGTATATTTCATCTCAAAGGCACATGGGAGTGACATTCTATTTCTTTTATTCTAGATCGAGAGTCTCCTTGCCATGTGAAACTCTTAAGAATGCAGAAAGTTGTCTATATTAGTTGTGGAGAAGAACACACAGCAGTCCTCACAAAAGTAAGGGACTCAGTATTCTGGTTCATTCTGTAATGCTTTGATGCTGAGTATGGCATGGATGATTAGCATTACTTGATAATTTTTAATACTGTCTTAGAGAGTGGTGATGTGTTTAAAATGGTTCAATATACATAAACTTAAAATATAGTATGTATAGCAACATTCTGTGTTCTTTTAAAACAAGCCATTTAAATATGTAAAAAAGGAATAGCAATGTAATTAGTTTTAAAATTGTCAACCTATTTGTTTACCTTCTAAAACAGTCACATCTAGAGAGAATGAAAATGTATTTTCATGTTGAAGAAATACTATTACAGACTCACTACTAAAATGCCTTAGCATCTGTTCAAGTTACAGCTGTTAAAAAAAGTAGTTACCCAGGAGTTTTGGGAGCCTTTAATTTCTTATTATGTGAATGATCACACCAAAATCATCTTATTTCACCTATCTCTGTGTTTCTTTTTTGTTTTGCTTCCTAACTCATCACTCTACTTTTCAACAACTTTCAAAATTTACAGATGATACACATTCCCTTCAGCAGTTCTTTGTTCCACAAAAATGTAGCCTTAAATTCCTATTTAAATTATTTTTTTATTTAACTGGCTTTACAAAAAAGTGATTTTGGCTAAGCATCCAGTATGCATGGTGTTCTCGTACAGACTGTGGTGGTGTACAGAAGGCTTTGGGAGAGCGTGCTGAACTCAGAGCTATGCGCAGTCACGTGCTGTTTGTTCCTTGTTAGAGTGGAGGTGTGTTTACCTTTGGTGCTGGTTCTTGTGGGCAACTTGGACATGATTCCATGAATGATGAGGTCAATCCAAGAAGAGTTCTGGAGCTGATGGGCAGTGAAGTGACTCAGATTGCTTGTGGCAGGTGAGTGCTCTTAAGAGCTTCCTAGTATCTGTTAAGACTCAGAAATGGATCTTGTCTTTGTTGTCGTGGAGAATGTGGTTAGACCTAACCACCATCATTTTAAGAAATCTTAACTGCATGCACACCTATGGTGAGAGTTTGCAGAGAGTCAGATCTGAGCAAGGTGGGTGTGGCAAGGAAAGGTTTAGAAAAGCAGAGCAATTTAGGGACATTAGGCTTCTTTTGGGATAAAGAGTAGCAGGATGTGAGGAAGAAAGGGAAAAAGGAAAGTGAGAGAATCTCAGAGAATTTGAAAATTTTGCCTGGTCCACCCACCTTTTCTCCTCTTATCCCACAGGCCAAAGGCTGTAGGCCGCTCAGCTCTTTCCAAGTCTTGCCATTATCCCCATAACCTAGAGTGTTAGAGAAGGCTAGTATTGTGGAGAGCCAGCCACTGCAAAAAGATTCACATGTAAACATGGGGGAAGATTTCTAGGGACCCCTAGGAATTGCTGTATTCACAGATGGAAGTTAAACGAGTCTGAGTATGTATCCATATCAGTAGAAACTATGTTGATAAGTTAATTTAAATTATTTTTCCCCAGACAACACACCCTAGCCTTTGTGTCTTCTTCTGGACTCATCTATGCATTTGGTTGTGGAGCAAGAGGTCAATTAGGAACTGGGCACACTTGTAACGTTAAGTGCCCGTCTCCTGTGAGAGGGTACTGGGCCGCCCATAGTGGCCAGCTTTCAGCCAGAGCTGGTAAGACTGATTTGTCATTGGTATTTAATGGTATTTTAAATAATCAAGACAGTTGTTTATAGAACATGAATCTTTGTTTTACCCTGAAGTCTTCTGGAGGGGATGAATATGAGATATTTTCTTTTAACACCAGTCAACAAATATTTGAGTACTTACTATGCACGAGGCTCTGTAGTTGAGATTCTAGACAATAGAGCAAAAGTGTAATTTTGGCCCTAAGGACCACAAATGGTGTATAAATTGTATTTATTATTGCTGCTAATAATGAAAATTAGCCTTTCAGTTCACCGAGTTCCGTTACTATGCTTCAGGTGGGAAACAGCCTAAGACCTTGTGGTTGTCATCCCCACGTGGGGCTGAGGAAGCTGAGTCTTCAGGAGGTTAAGTAACTTGCCCAAGACCACATAGATCCTGGGGGCAGGATTTAAACCCAGTCTGTCTCATTCTAAAACCTGCACTCGCAGTGCTTGTCCTGTGGTACCTTCCTTTGCTATTGCTGTTTTGGTTACAACATGACATAATTTCTTTCATGTCATTTTTTTCTTCTCTTAAAAAGTAGCTAAATAGCAGTGTCCATTTCATTGGGAATTAAAAAAGCAGTCTCTAAATATGAGTGTCTTGAAATAATAAATCCAGAGGCTGAAATGGAGCTGAAGAATCATTAAGAAGTGTGACTTAATAATTTTGATTTTGAAGACTATACAGTGACCCCCTTATGGCTTAATCAGGAATTTTTTTTAAACACTAACAATCATAAGTTGCCTGCTGGACTATAAGAAACTTAAGTACAGACTGAGTCTTTTCTTTTTTTTGTAAATCTAGCATACAGCACAGGGCCTGGTACAGACTTCTCAAACTCAGTGCTTATGGAATGAGTATATGAGCATCTAAAAATGTAGTGGAACTTAAAATATAAAATCAACAAGATTTTGTTTTGGGTATGTACCCAAAAATGAAAGAAGAGCTTGGTGTCCTCTTCTCTGTCGTTTGCAAACTTCTTTCTCTCCAAGGCTTTGTACACATGCTCAGAATACGTGTATTTAACAAATATACCAATTTAAAACAACTCAAGTGTTTTTATAGGTTGATTTGAAACCACAAATTTTTGAAGTTTAATTACAACTTAACCTATGTGATCATCAATTTTTGCCTGGATGTTTGCCAGAATGATTTTAAACATACATAGGTAAATTTCAATTTATTATAGAAATGTGGTTTTAGGAACCTTCCTAGTATTGGGGAGCACAGAGGAGGGCATCAGGAGTGTTCTGGCCAGAGGAAGTCTGAGCTGTGTCTGAAAGGATGATTTAGAGTTAGCCAGGTAGAGGACTCAGGGGAGTGGGCCCTAGTAGGTGCCCCGGAATCACACAACTCCAGGAGCACAACTTCTAGTTATGCTCTAGGAGGCGCCATCTGTGAAGGACACAGTGTGCCCTGGGGATGGTATATGGAAAGGCAAGGAGATGTGACATAGTGTGGTGTATCAGGCATATAAGCTATTTGGTGGTGGTAGCGTGTCACTGTGGACATGGTGTCATGGGAAGTAAAGCAGGGAGTAGGAAATGGAGGTCCTATGTCAGGCTTCATTTTGAAGGGGCAAGGGACCACTGCACTAGCCACTGAATTATTTCTTAGGCATATGCATATATTACCATTCCTTATAGTGACCATTTTAAATTTCAGGTCAATGCAGTGACAGAATAAAAGGTAGAAACATGGGCAGGATTAGCTGGCAGTAGGGGAGGGGGTGGAGGTAGGGTTAGAGTGGAGGCTACCATCTTATATATTTATTTTTAATTGAAGCAGAAACAGTCTTGGGCAGAGAACCAGGAAAGAAGCTTTCTTACTTCTCTGACATAATTAAAATGGGTGGAAAACATATTTTGGAATGTTAGAAAAGGGAATCAAGGAAAAATTTTATTGAAAAATATGCTGTTGAAAATTTTTTTGACAGATCACTTTAAATATCATATTGTTAAGCAGATCTTCTCTGGAGGAGACCAAACGTTTGTACTTTGCTCCAAATATGAGGTAAAATTTTCTTTTGACTATTATTTTGGGGGTCGACTAATGATGAACCATTTATTTTAAAAGCTAATTAACATGAGAGCAAGGTTACTCTTTGGTTCTACCTTTTATCTCATTAAAATTAGTTCATTAAACTTATCTGCATTTTCCTCCCTTGAATGCCAACAATTTTTCTGGTATTTCATTCAGAGAGTTCTAATTTATAATTTAAAATTGTTTAGATTCATATTTGTTCCCAAAGAGATTTAGGGATTCCTAGAGTATTTCTAATTACTTTGGTATTATTTGACTTTCCATTTCTTCCCTTCACTGTTGTATCAATACATAGTAAGTATTGGAGGACTTAGTGAGTTTGTTTTGATGTAGTTGAGGGTATACTAAATCTAAAAGAGATGCCACAATATTCAGATATCCTTTATTATTTATCATCCTCTCATAGCACCCCACTATAACTTCCCTCAGATGGTCTCCTGCAGCACCGTAGTGGGTAGGTCAGGAAGAAGGACGTCCCGGTGTTTTTCCGGGTTGAAGGTAGAAGAGGATGCAGTCCAGGTTTCTGTGACAGAGCTTAGTTCATTCCTGTCTTCCTGGACAAGGGCAGCAGTGAGTCCCAACTCGGCGCCACACATCTGTCTTCTGCCCTTCAACCCCTCCCCTGCTCTTGTGCTTTCTCTTCTCTCCTCTTCTTGCCCACCCTGCTTTTCCTCAGAAGGCATTTAGGGAGGACCACTCATATGTAGCGCATGCTGCTTATTCCCTCCTGGAAGAGTCGGGAAGGGCCGGAGTGGTGATGAAGGAATCAGAGTTGTTGGGGAAGAAAATGAGTGTGGGGAGAAGGGTCCCTTTCAGGCCCAGAATCTCTCCCCGTTGGTCTGATGCTTTGCCATCTTTAAAGGCGTGCTGTTCTTGCCTTCTGGGCAGCATAATTCTATGATTTTGGCAGAAGAGGTTGGGGTGGAGCCTGAGGCTTCAGCTGAAAGTGCCAATTAAGTGTTTTCCAGGTCAGGAGCCTGGAGAAGGTTCTGTCCAGCTCCACCTCCTGCGGTGATTTGGGACTGTTCCTTTAGACATATTTCGGGCCCTGCTTCAGTGCTTCACAGAGGAATCTTGAGGAAGGCTGACATTATTCTTTGTTTCTCCAAAATGCCAATAAAACAAAATATGAAAAGCATTGAATCTCTGCAGGATAATAACTTTTTGTTCACAAATAAGAGTTTGAAGTATTCATGTCCCTAAGAAATGGACTTGAATAATATACAACTTTAATTTTCCTGTGAAATTCAACATGAAACTTAGTTTCACTCCTTTTATAAATAGGGTGTCTGATATATGATGTTGGATTTTAAACACAGTTGATTTGGCAAACAGAACTGGTGAAAAGGAAGTGAAGTAGTGTAGTGTTAGAGGAACAGAGCAGGTTAAAGTTTAAACTGCTAAGAGTGTTGTGTATTAAAAATGTAAGATAACCAAACAAAAAAAATCCCTAAAAATAGAGCATTACTTATGAAGGTATTGCTCTTTCTTTTTAAAACTGAACCTGTATACTTCGACATAAAGGTCTTGAGCATAGATGTTTGTTTAGATACACAGACTGATCAAATCACGTGTTTACCCTGTTACCATAACACTAGAAGAATCCCTCAAAGACCCACAGAAAAGCATCTGTGTAGTGACAGGCTGCATTTTTATAAATGCTGACTCACTCATTAATGCCGGGTTGAGGTGAAAGAAGGGAGGGGCAGAGTTCTCTTCAGATAATCCTTTGCTACATTTGATTCTAGGTCATGGGTCATTTTAGTGAGTGCAGATCATAGTGTCTCCTTTTTCTTTCACCATGTTCCCTGGAAGTGGGAATGTGGTAGGGATTGTTTGGGGGGAGGGGTGGTGGTGTGTGTGTGTGAAGTGGGAATGTGGTAGGGATTGTTGTGTGTGTGTGTGTGTGTGAAGTGGGAATGTGGTAGGGATTGTTGGGTGTGTGTGTGTGCACGCACGCGCGCGCCTGCCTGCCTCAAAGTGTGCTACATGACATCTCTTTTTCCTAGAAAACTTATTGTCAACCTTGTTTGCCTGTTAAAAAATTTTCTAGAGATTCTGATTTAACTGGTCTAGAATGTGACCTGGCTGTCTGGAGTTTTGAGAGCCAAGTGCAGCCAAAGTAGAGAAACACTAACCTAGACCAATTTTTTCTTTCTGGCCTGCATGTAATTAGGCACAGGAAATTGGTTCTTTTTCTTGGGTCTTTAAGTGATTTTGAGATTGTGCCTCATCCGAGGCATCTGTGGTTTATTGGACATGCAATGAAGAATGAGAAAATAGTTCCATGCTTATATTTTATGGTAAGCGTGTGTTAGAGTCTGTGTTCAGCTACCCGTTTGAATGGGGGAAGTAATTAAAATGTATGCACCACTGGTTTTAAGACCATGATAGAAAGACAGTCGTCTTTGTGTGGACTCAAGTGTCCATTTTATCTTACGATTTTTCTCTGTGTAATTAAAGATTTCTTTTGTTCTCTCATAGATGTCTGGCCATTTTAGTAAAATAATTATCCAAAACTTTAGCAAGCATCTCTTTATTTGTTACATATCCTCCTCTTTTCCCTTTATAATGGTATCTTAACTCATAATTATGGGAAAGTAATAAAAAAAATTTACTTTGAAAGTTGTGTTTTTATGTGTAAGGACAAAGGGGAAAAAAGATCATCTTATGAATTGAGGGATGAATGCTTTACTATTACTTTTTTCCTCTTTTCTACTGTCAACTATAGGAGGTATAAAGCACTTCCAACTTCTTCTTACTTCTAGATCAAGAACAGGATTTGGGGTAAATCAGTTGGAAAAGAGAAATTTTAGTAAAACATCGTTACATTTTAAAAAATCTCATTGAAAAGAGTATGTACAGTGCTGTGCAGCATTTGGAATTTTCAAGGCCATTATTGACAGGTCCTTTTTGCCACCTTTCTTACAAATTTACAGCTGTATACTTGGAGCAAGAAATTAAGAGGCATTAAGTTTTCATAACTTAATTGCAATATATATTATAACTGAACTTTTTAGTAACACATCTTGTTGGAGGTCAGTGAGCAGTTATGGCAAATGATTAATACCTTAAAAGCCTTGATGTTACAGTGATTCAGAGCACAGAGGAAAGGGGTCTGGAAAAATACTTTTTGGGTGGGTTTCTCTGGGAAACAGACTCAAGTTTATGCTCGGAAAATTTTTTGTGGGAGTGAGCTCTAGAGCAGCATCTACTTAGGGAGAGGAAGCAGGATAGGGCAGAGGGATAAGTTAACTGCAGTGCAGTGTAACAGAGGCCTTAGCTGGTTCTCTAAGCTCTGAAGTAGGTGGCCCTTCAACCAGGCCTGAGCTGAGGCGAGGGAGCCTGCCCTTTGTACCACACGCTTACCTGCCGCTGGAGACGAAAGGAGTGGAGCAGTAACCAGGGGCAGTTCCTGGGGCCCAGGCCAGGGGGGAGCTGTCAAGAGCTTATACTCAGTGGCCGGGGGAGTGGGTGCCTGCATCCCCCAGGGTGGGGGATGCCAGGCAGTGCATCCGGGCTCCTGTGTGTAAGTGGAACACAAAATGGAGAATATATTGAGAGGAGAGGAGAAAAGATGCATCCTATGTAATTTCTCTTTTTTATTGTTTATATTTAATCCTTCAGAATTGTTCTCCTGCGGTTGACTTCCGGACTGTGAACCAAGCACATTATACCAGTTTAATAAATGATGAAACAATAGCAGTTTGGAGACAAAAACTCTCAGAACACAACAACGCAAATACAATCAAGTATGTGGCTGCTTGTTTTCATTCTCTTTTTTCCAAAGTACATTGGACCCTTCCAGCATAGAGATTTCCCCTCCCTCCACATGGAGGTTGTGAATAGAAATGGAGTTTTACATTTTAGGGAATCTTTTTTTTTTTTTGCACATACTCATTCAGGATTTGGTGCCCTTAGTCCCAAATAACATGTAGGTTGTTCCTCTATTCTCTCAAAGAGAGTTATTCTTTACCTGCCTTTTTCAGATCTTAAAAATCCTGACAGATGAGGCCTTAGGTCAGTCTTTCTGCTTGGAAGCTTCAGTGTTATTGTTGTTTAAGCCCAAGAGTTTCTTCATGGGCCGTGTTTCAGAGCATCCCAAATCTTGGACAGCTGTTGTCTTACCTACTCCAAATAGTTTCTAACATTTTCACATTCAGAGTGATTAGTTGAAATGGTAATTCAGTGTCAAGTAGGGAAAAAACATTCAGTAAAAAAGGTGGAGGCCCTCAATCAAATTTACTTTTTTCTCAAAGGAGAATTATTTTCTGCATATTTTACACATTTTCACTGGTTTTCCTTAGGACTTCGATATTTCTGCAAAGAATCTAATTCTTGGAAATGAGTGAATCATGCTCTGTATCCTAAGCAGTGGTCATTCCTAGTATGGTGTATACTACATCTTTATGACATAGATTTTAGTGAGGTAAATGTGCAGGGTCCTAAACTTTGGGGCACACTGGGGGGTTATTGGGGGTATCATAGAGCAGCTTATGGCTGTCCTCAGAATTCCTCTAACTTTACTTGGCTCTGCCAAGGAGTTCAGGCTGGAAGGAGACAGGGATAAGGCGAAAGGAACTAAACTGTAATGGGAGGAGTGGGGTAACTATAGACTCACTTTGCTGGGACCTTGACACTTTACTGGTTCTCAGTTTTCTTATTATAAAATTAAGGGTGGAAGAAATGAAAGACCTTTCCTGATCCATGTTCTATGACAAATACAAATTACTGCAACTTTCTCCCCAACCGTGTATTTGTTTTATTCCTTCCCTTTTCCTTATATTAAATAAGAGGGTCCAGGGCTTCTGATGCAGTTTTACTCTGAGTCCTTGGAAAAAATAGCTGTTTTCCCAGAACCTGTGTAGGCTCCATTATAGGAATAAACACTCATTTCACTTATGTTCGGTTTCTTTCTCAGGTGGGAAACAGAATAGAAGGAAGGGGTTATTCAGGTATTAAACTGCAGAGATAATTTCTGTGTTTGAAAGATAGCAGCACACCTCTTTCCTGATTGTATTTGTGTTTGGAGGTGAAGTGGAGAATGTCTTAGTTGGTTGGTTGGTAGAATGTTCAAGATCAAAGGTGCTAGGGTTTTTTTTCTATAGCTTTGATACTTTTTTAATTCTAATATGACTTATGGAAAACTTGAAGTTCTTGTTCATTTTGAGATGTGACACAACCTTTCTTTAAAGTAAGTGCACATTTTCCCAGGCTTCACCTGGGTAAAAAAGAGCTGCTATTAATGAAACCCTGGAAGAGATGACTAATGTATTGTTGATGCTTAAATAACCCTTTATGTGTAATTATTAAAAAGCTTCCCTCCCTTTTTCTTTCTGAGCAGTGGTGTTGTTCAGATATTATCTTCTGCAGCCTGTTGGAATGGAAGTTTTCTTGAAAAAAAGTAAGTGACTTGGAATCTTACAGAATTACCCACATTTGATGTGGTTATAATACTCAGCAAAGGCTGTGAAAGACTTCTGTTCTCTTTATGGTAGTTGGCCTTAATTCAGTGCATAAGCTGATGAATTCTACAAAAATTGGAATACCTAATAATGGTGAATGAGAGGACATCAGGAAGGGCAGTGCTGATTCATGCCCAGTTGGCAGAGAAGCAGATTAGCAAAGAGAGAGAGACAGTATCTCAGAAAGAATTTCTGTAATCAAAAATGAGATTTTTGAAGGTATTCTAAAATGTTACTGCCACCACATGTACTGTATTGGTTCTTAAATTCTTAATTCTTTAATCCCCTTGCTTTGGTTTGGTTTCTCATAGGTCTCCCTCCCTCCCTCGCCCCCCGCCGAAAAAAAAGAGGCAGCTTAGGGGGAAGTTCCAGGGAGGCTTCAGGGCTCCTTGGACTCAGGTCCAACCCAGCTCACCAGGAAGTCACATTTGGGCTAAACTCCCAGGTAGTAAATAGAGTGTTTGGACTTATCCCTTCTGCAAGTATCCCCCTGAGGAACATGGTGCAGCAGAAGGGTCTTCTCATGGGTTCTGATCTTCAGTGATCCCAAGTCCTGACCATCTCTCAGTACTTTCTGCCAGAGACCAGGCTAAAAATATCTCAGGAAGACTTAGATTTCATGTCTGTATGTGACTCCTATTGCTCCCCAAAATGATGTCCCTAACTGGGTTGCAGAGATTCTTCAGTTACAGTTAGAGATTAGGGCAGCTGGATTGAGCTTGTCCAATTCATTTCAGATTCAGTACTCAGCCTTCTGCTCCAGGGAAAAGTATTCTGGGTTGTGCTGACCTTGGTCTCTTAGAACTGTGGTTTCCAAAAGGGTGATCGTGCTTCCCAGGGGACATTTGGTAATGGCTGGTGACAGTTTTGGTTGTTACAGTGGGGCATCCAGTGGGAAAATGCCTAGGATGCTGCCAGGCACTTTACGATCCCACCACTCAGCAATTATCTGGCCCCAAACGTCAGAATGTCCTAAAAGGAGAACGCTAGTTCTAGCTTTTATGAAGGTTGGGAATGGCTGTTGGCCAGATGTATTGGTTATTCATCCTTAGGATTATGGATTTGTAGAGTTGTGGGTAAAGCCTTTTTTTTTTTTTAACTGATAAGTGCAATTTTAGGAGTCCTGATGCAGAATCCATTGTGGGAAACCAATTAAATTGAGTAGTAGATTCACAAAACATAAATACATGTAGATAAAGCATTTTGTTTTTACTTAACAGCAGAGCAGAAAGTACATCTAAGCAAATGGACTGTTATATATGGTATACCAGAATTAATTTCTATTTGGGGCAGATTTATTTTTAGAACAAAAACAACAACAAGCAGAGCCCAAGCATCTCCTCTTGAGTTGACCATTCAGCTTCCAATACATATAATTATGACTTAAAAAAAAAAGTTAAAAACTCTACTTGTTTTTATATATTATAACATTGCTGTCAGACAGTGTTCAGACTGTCTGAATGTGTTCATTAGTCATAAACAGAAGCCTGGTTTGCAAGTAAATAGTTCTTTTGTAATTAATAGATGCAGTATGTTCAAAAGCAGAAATTTAAGAGACATTATCTAAGTCTATAAAAGACTAAGACTGTATTTAAGGTCAGAAAAATGATTAGTTGTTAGTAAGTTAGAAAGAATAGCAGTTACATTAGTTCTTGGGTGAATGTAATTGTTATCCCTTGGTTAAGTAAGAGAGACATAAACTTTACATTTGTTGTAGATCTGGTATTTAAAAAAAAAGAAATGCTTTAAGCATGGAGGTTCTACTTGCCATCTGTTGGTGAGTGGCCCACTTTGCACGGGGCACATCTTTTTTGCACCTAGGCATGGCATGTAGATCTATACTTGATGTACCACAATTACAGGAGAAAAGCAAAATGCAAGAGTAAATCAGGGATATAACGCTGCTTAGAAACTTCATCAGCCTCAAATTAAAAGAATGATCCTTGTACTTTGAATGAAAAAGATTTGAACATTTAAAAATGATCTTGAAGAAGGAATTCCAGAGAATTTTATTCTATCGGGTTTCTCTAAAGTGTTGTATTTTTGAGCAGCTCATCTGCCAGGTCAAATTTAAATCAGATCAGTATGGACCGACGGTTACTTCTTTGTGTTTGTTTGTTTAGAATTGATGAACATTTTAAAACAAGCCCCAAAATCCCTGGCATTGACCTGAACTCAACTAGAGTGTTATTTGAGAAGTTAATGAGCTCTCAGCACTCCATGATTCTAGAACAGGTATGTTCTTTACATTTACAAAGTGTATTTTTAATAATGCATTTTTGCATTGAAGTAATTCAGCTTTAAAGAGAAACAAAAGAGTAAGATGAAAAGGCAAAAGTCTTACCTAAATCTTAACTCTTTGAAATATTCACTTTGAGAATTTGGCCTTTCACTTTCTTTGCGGCTTGAATCTTTGTAAGGAAATGCCCCTGCAGAGGAAGGTCTGTGTGGGCAGCCATTGTGGGCTTTCCTTTCCTGTCACTCATGTCCCCTGAGTGCCTAGGCCAGTGCCTGGCTCATGTTGGTAGGTCCTCAGCACATGTGGAGTGAATGGAAGTTGAGGGTCTATCAAATAGCTTACGAGTTTAGAAGTAAGATAACTAGATCTCAGGTATGGTTGAATTTCTCAGTACTCTTTTCTCTCATACAGATCTTAAACAGCTTTGAAAGTTGCCTGATTCCTCAGCTGTCGAGTTCACCACCAGATGTTGAAGCAATGAGAATCTATCTAATACTGCCTGAGTTTCCCCTGCTCCAGGATTCCAAGTATTACACAACATTGACTATTCCGCTGGCTATGGCCATTCTGCGGCTGGATACAAACCCCAGCAAAGTCTTAGGTGAATTTCCTAAATTCAATGCCTGTCATTTTCTGCTTTTTATTTCACTTGTGTGACTGACCAGTGGCTCTCAGAGGATTGAGATCCATGAATCTGTTTTCATTTACTATCCGTAACATTCAAACCTTTCTTTCTTTGAATTACTTGCTAACTAGCCATATTTGCAGTTTGAGCAAATTGAGCCATTACTTACATTATTTGAAATGATTCACACCAGACTAATCTAGATTTTTAAATATTCCCAATTAGATTTTCTAACTTTAAACTATTTTTTCTTCTCCTACACTTGTTGGTAGTTAATAGTGTCTCAAATTAGTGTCCATCTGTTGCTTTTTGTCCTATACCTAATTTAGGGGGTGGGACTGGAATGAACAGTTTTGGTGATACATGGGTCTCCAAAAAAGGAGAGGAAAAAAATGACCTAGTGGAGACTTACCAAATGTTTGTTTTGTTTTTCTTTTTTAGGGCAGTTGAGTCCACACTGATTTTTGCAGGCTACGGACACTTTGCTGAGCTAAGAACCTTCCGTTCCTCAGTGAATTGGAGAGTGTCTCTCCTGGGAATAGCTCCTGAGATGTTTTTATTAATCAAGTGCAGAAAGTGTGTCACCTGGCTTTTTCCCTTTTTTTTTTCCTGGTAAATTTTTAGGTGTTCATTGCAACTCAGTAACTTCTGTGTTCCATATGGACTGGGATGTTACTTGAGTGTGTTCTCCCTATGAGACCTGTGTTCCTGAGGATGGAATATGAGCTTTTTCATGTTGCTTCCACCTTTGCAGAAGATATAAAAGCAGAAATAATAATGAGAGCACAAATAGTAATATGTTAGTCCTTAATTTTGTTTTTTTTAAATGAAGATCTCTTTGGGGCATATTTTCTTAGGTGTTCTAATAACTTGAGGTAGGGAGATGGCAACATCTGAAAGAATATTACCTAATGTTTATGCTTTGGGATTTTTTATTTTAATTTTTCTGGGTAGGATAGCACAAAGAGATCAAAACTGTTCATTTTTATACTTGTTCTTAACTTCTAATTATAGAAATTTAAAAGAATACCCAAAGTAGAGAGATCACTACAGGTATGCATCACACAAATTGGTGATTATCAGTATGTTGCCCTTTTGTTTTATCTATTCCCCCTACCACTACCTTCTTAGTTTTGTTGGCAGGTTTTATAAAAGTCTCAGACATCATATTATTTCATCTTTCAAATATTTCAGTATGGATGAATTTATTTCTAACAAAGTAGAAGCCAGTGGTACAGTCTTGTCTGGTTATGAGAAGGCATTGTTTGGTGAGAAATAGGCAATGTAGTTTTTCAACTAATTACATCCCTTGAAGGGAAGGAATGGTTGTTGTATTGGTGCTGCTTCTGGCGCATGTGGTCCTTTCCATTCCTGGTGACTGAGAAGAGGGCTGTAGGGACTAGAATGTAAGAATCCTCCTGCCAAAAATAAGTGCCTTAGCATCTTGCCTACATGTACCCTTGGAATTGAACTTCTGGGTTAGACTTCTAAAGGAGTCTTTGAGGAAAAAATCAGAACTAGTTTTACAAAAAAAGCTTCAGGGATTCTTGTTTAGCTGCTGCTCTCCAGAAGTGCTCTAATGGATTCTTCTTAAAGTCAGTTTTTGGGAAACTGTGTTTTAGACTAATGTTCATCTTCTAGCTGGAGTGCTTTTTAAATAGTGAGCAAGACAATTTCCTAATCAAGATTACATGTTGAAATGTATCTTCTCTTTCTTTCTAAAGATAACTGGTGGTCTCAGGTATCCCCAATATATTTCATGAAGCTGATAAACCTCTATAAAGGTGCAGTCGTTTATCTACTGAGAGGAAGAAAGACATTCTTAATTCCTGTCCTCTTTAACAGTTATGTTACAGCAGCTCTCAAGCTCTTGGAGAAGTTATATAAGGTGAGCATAGAGAGGAGTCAGTGGGGAGAGGGGTGAATAGGTGGTAGGTCAAATGTCCTACTGAGGTAGTTTGTGGGAAGCTGTTTTCCAGTTGTGGTTTTAGTTGTCTTATTTTGTTTTTCATCAGGTTAATCTTAAAGTGAAGCATGTGGAATATAATACATTTTACATTCCTGAGATTTCCAGTCTTGTGGACATTCAGGAAGACTACCTCATGTGGTTCTTGCATCAAGCAGGCATGGTAAGAGTTCATGCAAAGCAGATCTTAAAGCTTTAGTGTTCTCAGAGTACAGATTAGGACAAGAAAAATGCATCTGAAACCTATAATGTGTCCTTGACTTTGGAGTTAATGTCATACCTGTTAGTTATCTGCTGGCTTTGCATTCTTGAAACTGAAGTGCTTTGAGAAACTATAAATGGTCATAAGGAGTCATAAACAGGTAGTCACCTAGAATGGCACACATTTTAATTAGTTGCTGACATTTTGAAAGTGAAGGAATCTCAAGTAGTCACAGTCATAGAACCAGAAAGCAGCACGGTGGTTGCCAGGACTGGAGAGGTAAGTGGGGAATTGTGCAGTGGGTACAGAGTTTCAGCTTTGCAAGATGAAGAAGTCCTGGAGATCTGTTGCACAATAATGTGAATATAGTTAACACACCCAAACTGTACTCTAAAAATGGTAAAGATGGTCAACTTGATGGAAAGTCAAGACACATACAATGAATTTCTAGCTTTTCCTGAAACTTGGACTATCTGACAACATGACCTGTTGTCCTGGAGGCCTGCAGTTGGTTGGCATTCAGTAGTGGCCCTTAAATGAGGCTTCTGTGTGCTGCAGTCCGCACAGCCGCTTGACTTCAACACTGAGGAGAGGATCGTTCGCTAATTATCATCTTCTAACAGCTAACTTATTTCAGTTGTCTTCTGTCAACCTCCTGAACCCTGTAGGCCACCTCTGATTTAGGATTCTGTGTGTGAGAACATGTATTAGAGACCTCACTCTCACTGTGTTAGACATACCACCCTTTAAAAACTGACTTTAAAAAGGGGACTGGTTCCTTCCTTCCACCCTTGACTTGACAAGAACTGCTCTGTTTGACTGCAGACTGGCTTGGGATATATGCAAGGCTTTTTAGGATCCCCCTTCTGTGAAGGATGTGTTCATCTGAGTTGTGTCAGAATGATAATTTGGTTTTTGCATTTAATGAAGCCATACGCAGGAGATACATTTGTAGTGAGTCCTTGCCAGTTGAACAGATTCTTCACCAACATTTAGGCATAATTTTCCCTGTGGTATTTTGGGAGGTCATCAGTGGTCTCCAAAAAAGCAAGGCACATAAGTAAGTTTAAGTGAGATTGGGTTTTTTGGGGTCAAATAATAGACATCAGTGCTAGACACTGTACTGTATTTTTAATAAGATTTATGATTACCTTGAAAGAACAAAATGCATTTCAATAAAAATGGATCTAGAGACTTTTTAAGTGGGTTTATAGGAAATTTAACGTGGACGCTAGTAATGAACTTTGCTTTCTCCTGCTAATTTAGAAATTATAAAAAGAAGCTTTTCTGTTTTATTCTGTCAATAATTACTCATGGAATAATAAAATGTGAAAAGCTGAAATATGCCTTATGAATTATTTAGGTCAACTGCTTTATTTCCAGCTGAAGAAATAGAGGCCCAGAGGACTTAAAGAATTTTTCCACCAATTCAGTTAGCTATAAAAGCCAAAAGTTCTTCTGAATTCTCATCTACCCACTCTGTAACCTGATGCTGAATAAAATAATTCCAATGAACCCTAATTCTTTTTGATATTGAAAAAGAAGTTCCTGGTGTTAAAATCTAGACTCTCATGACTGTAGTCTATGAATGGGTGTACTTAAATGAGCAATTTGTAGAATTTTTTTTATAGTTCCTTTCTCTTAGCCTTTGATAAGCAAACATAGGTCTTGAATACCAGATGCTCATCTCTTCTTCAGTAATTAAGGTAGTTATAGAAAGAAAATTAGGTGAAATTACTGTGTGACCTTTTGTGATATCTTTGGTATTCTTTCTATTATGTAAGGTATAATACTCTTAGAAATTGAAGTTTAAATTTTTTGATCTATTGAATTTCAGCCTAAAATGCTAAAGCCATTTTGTATATAAATTTATGTATTTTTATCCAGTTTTAAATGACAGTTGTGAACAATAAGTAGATTTTCCCTCAGTTTCATTGTGACTTTTGAAGTGTACAATGTGATGATTTGATACATATACATTATGAAATAATTAACAAGATCAAGTTAATTAACATATCCATCACCTCACATAGTTATCTCATTTTATGTGTTTTTATGATGAGAACACTTAAGATCTACTCTCAGCAGATTGCAAGTACACAATCCCATGTTATTAACTGTAGTCACCATGCTGTACATTAGCTCTTCAGAACTTACTGTCTTACAACTGAAAGTTTGTTGTACCCTTTGACATCTCCCCCTCTTTCTCACCTGCCCCAGTCCCTGGCAATCACTATTTCTTTGTTTCTAAGGTTGGCTTTTTAAAAAAATTTTAGATTCCACATGTAAGTGATACCATACAGTATTTGTCTTTCTCTGTTTGGCTTATTTCACTCAGTGTAATACCCTTGAGATTCACCTGTACTGTTGCAAGTGGCAGGAATTCCTTCTTTGTTATGGATTAATAATGATCCATTATATACATATAATAGAATATTGTGTGTGTGTGTGTGTGTGTG